AGATAGAATCTCAGCGTTGTTTTCATTTGCATCTCTCGAATGACCATGGATGTTGACCATTTTTTCATATGTTTATTTGGTATTCCTACTTCTTTGCCTGAGAAATGTCTGTTCATTTCAGATGCCCATTTTTGGATTGGGCCTTTAAATTTGGGAGGTTTATTTTAAGTTCTTTATATATTCTAGATAGTAGACCTTTGTCTGAGGAACAGCTTGCAAAGTTTTTCCCCCCACATCATGGGTTGTCTCTTTGCCCTGTTGGTGCTTTCTCTTGCTATGCAGAAGCTTTTTTGGTAAGAAGAGATCCCACTTGTTGATTGTTTGTGCTAGTTCATGTGCAACTGAGGTTTTGTTCATGAAATCTTTTCCTACACCAGTGTCTTCAAGAGTAATACCTAACTTCTCTCCCAGTTTAGTGTTTCTGTCTTAATATTTACAACTTTAATCCATTTCAATTTTAGTTTAGTGCATGTTGAAAGATATAGATGATATTTGCATTTGTAAGTCCAGTATGGGTAGTAAGTCCAAGCATCTGGTTGTAAGCCCAGTCATTAAGTGGGTAGTTTGTTAAATGAGGAATATCTGTATATATGTTTTGCTATATAATTGTGAACACAAGTTTGGGAGAGTAAATGTAATTTATGGGGATCTTAGCACTCTAGTTATTAGCTAAGATTTCTGAATTTAATGAGTTCCAAATATAAGATAATATATCAGTGAGTCATTATGATTATTTCCAAAAATTTAATAAATATTGCATGTTAACCCTTGATGAAGTTGTTTAGCCAAGTAAGGAATTCTTTGCTTTTGAATTTGTTTTGTTTTTTTAAGACAGTTTCTCACTATGGAGTTGAGACTGACCTGGAACTCAGTATGTAGCTCAGGCTGGTCTTGAACTCACAGCGATTCTCCTGCCTCAGCCTCCTGAATGCTGGGATTACAGGCATGTGCTTGACCATAATTTTGTTACATGGCACAGCAGGAATTTAGAGTGACAGTTATAATCATTGAATAAATAAGTGCTATTTAATAATCATAACTTCGAACACAAAATCTTATAAAACATCATGTACATGAGAGGGCTATAATACAAGGGTGTTAACAGCAAAAATGAAATCATTTTTATGACAATTTTTGTAATACTTTGTATTCTTATAATTATTGTTTCTTGAAAGTCTAGCTTTGAGAAATGTCTCAATAACAGGATTCTGGTGAATTGGTTTCCGGTGAATTATTTAAGATTTTGTGGTTAATTTGATCAGAAGAACAGATGTCATTCATGAATTAAATTTCTTGAACATATATGCATTGTTTTATAACTTCTGGTGAGTCAATGTTTTCTGTGAATTGCTTTGACTTCTTAGTAAGCTTTGATAGGAGAATTACATACCTCAGCACCCAAATCTCAGATGAGTAAATTGCAATTCCTCTCAAGAGACTTTTGTCTTTTCCGTGAATAAGGCCAAAGGGGTGGGTACCCTGGTTGTTTCTTAGAAATTTTTTAAAGTTAGTATTCTAGCTTTGCTTCAGGCTGATATGGAAAGAAGATGGTGTGCTGCTTTATGTAAATATAGATCAGGACATAATTTGAACAGCTATCATTTCATACATTTATCTAAAATATTTAGATTACAAACAATGACAAAAATTTGAAAAGCCAAGCTAATTTTTATAGATGGGGAAAGTTGGTTTCCATGCTACTGATTGGTTATAATAATACCAACAATGAAGCAGTCTTTGCCACGGAGGCTCAATTTCCACCCCTGAATATTTCATTATGTTCTAGAGGATGGGGCAGGAGACCACTACAATGATGTGCTAGTTTCCGAAAAATTGAAGAATTTAAAATTTTGAACTTGGTTTTCCAGGAGCGTATTGTGGTATGTTTGTTGAGGTAGAAGGATAAAGCATATCTTATGCAATAGTTAACTAGACTGATTTAGAACTTGTACATATTTAGATGTGTGGTATGCAGGTTTTATTTCTACTCGTATTCCCTGAAAATGTTAAAGATAGACTTGATCAAAGGAGTCCATTAATGACAATGTAGCATTATAGCAGTTAAATGAAAGTCAGTGGCACAGAATAATTTGTGAGAAGATTCTTTTACTAACAAAGGCTAGTGAAAAGATCACTGTTTGGGCTTTCATTAATTATCTATTATTGTATACCAAATTATCATACATTGAAATAACATTTACTTTCTCACAGTTTCTGAATGTCAGGAATCCAAGAGCAGCTGAGCTCAGAGTTTCTCATGGGATTGCTGTGAAGATTTGGCCAGGACTGTGTACACACTGGGCTTGGTGGGGCCAAAAGTTCTGCTTCTAAGTCCCCAAAGTCTGCCTGGGTGACCTCAGGAAGTGACAGCTGTCTTCCTTCATAGTAAGGAATGTAGGACACACACACACACACACACACACACACACTCACACTCACACAGAAGTTATTTTAGAAAGCAATTTCAGGAGAGATCACCAGCATTTCTGTTATGTTCTATTGCTGTTTCAGACCAACCATCTAGTTCTACGTGGGAGAGGTCCACACAAGGGTAAGATACCAAAGACCAGAGATTTTTGGGACCATCTTAGAAGCTGGATACCACAGAACGCTTTACTGAATATTTCCAGCCTTTTGGTTTTTGCTCACATAATTCTGTCCCATCTCAGGGACCCTGTGTTCATAGCCTTTGGTGATGGACCCTTTCTGTTGATCTTGCCTAAGTGCCCTACAATCTATCCATCCATCTATCTATCTATCTATCTATCTATCTATCTATCTATCTATCTATCTTCAGTACCAGGGATTGAACTCAGGACCTTGCACTTGCCAGGCAGGTGCAGCACCACTGAGCTATGTCCCTGGCCCCTACTATTTTAAATTGCAGCTTGAATGCCACACTTTAGAAAGGCCTTTCCTGATCACTCAATATACAGTGATACTGTTACATCATATTTTAATTCTGTGTGCCCAGAATGTAAATTGAAAGAATGGATCTTAGTAGTGATGTGACCTTGGGGGAAAAGATGAGCTCTCCAAATCTCAGTAGATTTATCCGTGATTAATGGTCCCTTGCCCTCTTTCAGTAAGCCAAGTTTTTGTGAGAACCTTACTAAGCTAGGATTTCTATACCAATTGATTAGATCTTTATTGTTGGCTAGCTATTGTTTTTATTTTTTTCTCTGGGGCAGAAGGATGTTATTTTTCCATTTTATTTTTCAAATTCCCTTTATTCACTTGCATTGCAAGATAGCTTTATTTTTTCACTTATGTATTCACCAGACTATTATTGCCCTGCACATGTCTTTTTTTTTAATGGTTTTTTGAGACAGGGTCTCACTGTGTAGTTGAGACTGACCTAGAACTCATTATGTAGGCCAGGGTGGTCTGGAACTCACAGTAATCCTCTTGCCTCAGCCTCCCTAGTGCTGGGATTACAGGCGTGGGACACGACGCCCGGCTCCCTGTACATGGCTTAGAGGATTTATTTTGAATTAAATCTATGATTCTGTGTATGAAAAATATTCAGCTGTGAGCAAGGTTTGTAAGTTTTTTTTTTCCAACTGTAAAATGACATGTGGTTTGGTGTCACAACTAATCATAGTGGCTCACTGGATCTGGGAGATGATATGTGTTTTTTAAGAAGCTTGTTAGATGCACAAAGGAGCAAATACCCAAGGATCAAAGCAAACTTTTAATAATGTTCAATTGGAGTTCTGGTCATGTTTGAGCCATTCAGAGTCTAATCAGTAAAACCCCCTGAGTCAATAACTGCCTTCTCCTCAAATCCTGGCAGGTATCTATTATGCTGCACATTAACCACATGGAAATGAACATATGGTTATTGAACACATAACAAAACAGACTCTGTTGGAGAATGTTTCCTTTAGGATACCTTAAAACATTCTTGAACAGAACATTATGTCGGCTACTTCGCAGCCCTTCTGTTCCTGGGCTCATAGGAGGGAAGTTGCTAGTCCCTTGCATTAGGAGCAGTAAACACGCACACTGTAGGAAGTTGGAAACCTTAGAATTTATTTACTCATTCAGAAAGAACCATGAGTACCTTCCAACGTGAAAACCACACAATAGATGGAATTCCTTAAAATTTCAAGACATATGTTTTCTTTCAGAAAGAGGAGGGAGGAAGCATTCAAAAGAGAGGAAACATATACTGAACCACAGCCTAGATTAACTTGGATCTGGTTAGTTTCTGCTCCAAACTAACGGAATTTCCAAGTTTATAGTAAACAGAAAAGAAATTGACGATCCAGAGTGTATGTAAGAAGTCACCTTATTTGAGTGAAATAATTCAAATCGTAACTTTTTAACATCTATGTTCAAAAGGAAGTTTTTGGATTAGCCATGCTTATTTCCTAAACATTCTGTAAAGTTGCAACATAAATTTAAATAATAATTATTTATATGTACACACATTTGTGTATGCATGTACACGTCCATGTATATATGTAAGATGGGGAAATGTTTTGGCCAAGATTCTAAACTGATAGACTTCAGATATTAAAGAGACTGGTGAGACTGATTATCCCTCAGGATTCACAAAAACAGAGTGGGAATCAGGTGGGTGATTTTCGTCCCGCCTCACACCTTAAGGATACGAAGAGTGTAAGAGTGGAGACTGAAGGCAGGTGTGTGAAGGGAACGCTTGGTGTGCTGGGGGTTCCCTTTCTCTCTCTCAGAAGGAGGGTCACGGAATGGCTGGAGCCTCGTGGGAGGAGTCTGAATGGGGCTGCTTGAAAAGCAGGATTTGTGTGTTGTGTAAGTGGGGTATGTGGGCTGAGTTCTCTCTGAGAAATGGACAGGGAGGAGACAGCTGCCGGCACAGCCAGGCTTTGACTGACCTACATCTGAGATTGGTGGATAGAGAAGATCCCAGGGACTGAATGTTGGCCATGGACTACACACACACACACACACACACACACACACGTGATCCGGGGAGATCGACTAATTAATTTCTCTTTTATCTTTCTCAATAGAATCCTTGGAGGGACGATTGGCCTGTAATAGAGGGAACTGCAGGTATGGCCGGATTCCTAGGGCTGCATTTATGAACCACAAAAGAGAAACTTGAACTTCACATTGATTTATTTTTATTTTTATGTTCTTGAGACTGTGCCTGAATGCGTGATCCTCCTGCCTCAATCGACTGAGATCTGGGATTCCAGGTGTGTACCACCATACCCGGCGCTGAACTTCTCATTGAGAATAAAAACATTTTTTTTTAAAACATGGTACCAGGAATCGATTTGCACCTGGCAGGCAAGATGATGTGCCATTGAGCTACATTCCTGGCCCCTGAGAATAAAGTTTTGATTATCATTTTGCATAGACACGTTAAATACGGACTTAGGCCTTTGTTAGGTGTGTAAAGTGACCACAGGGTTGACAGGTACCTAAGAGAGGTTAGAACAGTCATGGCACCCATTTGAGCTTCCATCCAGGGGCTCAGGAAGAAGCTTAAACATCCACCCATTCCCAGGGGGTCACTTCTTAGAGGTGGAATTGGAAATACAGATAATGGGGTTACTTATACATTTGACTATGGGTGTTTCCACTCCAGAGCGGTGTTGTTTCAATTTTACTTTTTAAACTGCTTTTTCAAATTCCAACAGATGTTCAGTTCTTATGCGTATCTACTTATTCAAATGCACACACACACACACACCACACACACGCACTGGTACACACGTAGTGTGAGTGTATGTGATTTCAGGACGGGCTGTGTTACCGGCAGGTGTAATGGTCACTGAGGACACCGTGTATTTTAAAGCTTGGCACGTGCGGAGCTGAAATTTCCAAGCCTGTCCAGGAGTAGCGACCTCTGTTCGGGAAAGCTCTCCGACGTCTGCTGATCCCCGGGCTTGGGCCCGAAGGAAATTGGTGGCACGAGGAAGTGAGTGGAACCCTCCGCAGACAGGGAGATCCAGGCGGGTTGTTCTGCCCGTGCACTCCTCTGTGCGGCAGCGTCTCCTCAGGGAAATGCTTGAAATGGGTTCTCCTGAGCTGTCTCCCGTCTGACTTTCCCTCCCCCTCCTTTCCCCACCCTCACCCAAGTACCTATCAGTCCACCCTTTCGCTGACACCGCTCCGCTGTGTTGGAAGGCGCTGTTTAATGCGGGAGATGAGCTTCAGGCCCAACACGGGGTCACTTTCTGAGTAACATTTTTTGGGTTGATTAAACTTCAGCACCATCACTGTCGACGTTACAGGCCAGAAAACAGAGGGAGTGTTAAGTGCTCGGGATAATTTGTGCCTCACAGATTTGAAAAATCAAACAGAGATGAGAGTTTAACGTGCTTGGAAAAAGAAGCCGTCATCTATTTTTGAGTCTTCTGTATTTAAGACCTCAGCATTTAAAATGAAATAATATCTTTTACACAAACGAAGGGAAGGTATAGTAAATAGCTGTGTATATAAAAGAAGCTGGACTTTTTAATTACAGGGTGACCATAAAGATTTTAATTGGCTTCTCCATTTGACATAAGGCCTACTTATGTAGTTCAGGGTGGCCTGGGACTTACTACGTAGGCCGGCCTCAAACTTGCAGTGATCCTCCCGCCTCAGCCTCCCAAGTGCTGGGATTGCCAGCATGTGCCACCAGGCCCAGCTCTCTCCCTTTTGCTATTAGAAAGTGAAGGTTATTTGCTCTTAGAGAAGTTCTCAAGGTTCTGAGATGACATGTGGCTAAACTGTTTATTAGAGAAACTAAAAGTTTGCTCCAAAATGCAAAGGAATCCTGGATCAAAATAAATCATTATTTCCCATCTGATTAGGGTGTTGGAAGTCCACTGACTTTACCTGCACATGAATTCACACCCCCAGGATAGGGACTTACCCTGTCATTTAATCTATAGTGGCCCCTTGGTGTGGTTTATGATTAGGAGAGACATGCTGTAGGAAGAAGAAAAAAACAAAACAAAACAAAACAAAACCCAAGCTAGGAATTCCTGCGGTTGGCCAGCTCACGGTGTCAGAAGTGAGTTGGGACTCTGTGTCACAGAATTACCTTCCTGCTGGGCTCTGCACAGGGAAAGCTGTTGCTGACTGGCATCGAGGCCATGGCACTCTGGAGGTCAGGCATGAAGTCACTGGTTGGCATCAAGGTGGCACAGAAGCTGAGCTTTGGCCACTGCCTTGCTGTTGCCCCTGGAGAGCTGGCAGGATGTGCGAGCAACTCTCAGAGTACTGTGCACACACACACAAACATTCATAGGTCCGTTCAAACTGTAAGACCCCACCACTGCCTATCGATTTGTGTCCATCTCTTGCGCAAGTTCGAGTTCTAATTCTGGCTGATTGTTTCCAAACACGTGTTGGTGAAAGGAAAATACACGGGAAGGTGAGGCGTACTGGGGAGGCAGACGCCTACCGACAGCAAGCTCCTGATACCTTTCACTTGTGTGTGAGCATGTGTGTGCCTTGTCCTCAGTGTCCACGGGGTTTGGCTGCAAGATACCAAAATCCAGAGGTTTAAGTATCTTGAGGTGACCCTCCACGTCCACGCAGGGCTCCAGAAATCATTCACTATCAGCTGGAATATATTAAGCCCTCACCTGGTTCTGTGATTTTGGACTTTCCACAAGGGAGTGGCTATTGCCCTGGTAGTGACAAGCCCTGTCCTCACTGTTCTGGCCTCTGGCTCCATATACGGAGGGACTCAATGGTAACTTCCTTCATTCCTCCCCTGTGTTCCCTCCCTTTATTTTCTAGCCTCCCTTCCCCTTGCCCCGTTATTTCCATCAAGCTATTATGGCTTCAGGTAAATGAAAAATTAGTTGCCCCTTCTAAATGTCTGGAGACCTGTGATATAAATTCATATGGATGTAAATATGTATGCAGATTTTTCTGAACCCAAACCCTCTCCCTCCACAGTACTTGCAAATTTCCCAAATGCAGTTATGATAATGCTGGGTGATTTATTCTACATAAGGACACATCTGAAGGGTGCAGCACATTGTGATTTGCAAACCATTTAACTCGCTAAGATCAGATTGTTCGGCTTTATCTGCAAAGTTCACCCACAAGGAATTTAATATAAAGGCTTTTATTCTTGTTGTTTCATGCATTGTGCTCTCCTGAGGTCTGATGGATGAGTTTGAAATGGGTGTGCGGGGGAGGAAAGAAGGAACTGAGCCACCTGTGCCTTCGGTGGGAAAGCGGCCCTCACCCGTGCTGCCACCAGACCACTGAGCATGCGCAAGGACTCCTGGCGGGAACCGCGGTCTCCCAGGGGACTGGGTCCCTCAGGTGTGTGTGCATGGGCAGGCTCCAGGGAGCCATGGGACGGAGTGGGGTCCTTCCGTCCTTACCGGTTCCCTGGGAGCTTGAGTAAGTGGCTGAACCCAGCTCCCTTGCTAAGAGTTGAGAAGATCTGGCTGGGGATTTAGCTCAGTGGTTCCGCTGCCTGCCTCCAAGCACAAGAGCCTAAGTTCGAGGTCAGTGTCCTTGCTTTGTCACTGACTTCCGTGATTTCAAGCACGTTGCTTTAACTTCAGATTCTTTGCGTGTAAGGAATGCAGGGGCGCGGGGCGCGAATGTGACATCTAAGGCCCTTAGTGTTCTCCTGTTTCATGTAATCAACTCCCTGTGCCACGATTCCTCTTCCTCATATCTGTTTAGAAGAGCTTTTTAGTTTTTAAAAATATGTGCAAACTTTCTTCTGGTGAATGGCTTGTTTTCTTTCCATGTATACTTTTAATTAAATCTTCATTGATCTACAGTATGTTGGACACTGGGCTGTAAACACTGAACAAGACAGTCAAGGAGAAGCAGCCTTTCGAAAAATGAGGGCTCGGAGGCTTTGGGGGGTGGCTTTGCCCTGGTTTGCTCCTCAGCACGGAAGAGGGGGTGCGGTGGGACATAGCAATGAAAGCGTTTTATCATGTAGCACGTCGTCAGGCCTGAGGAAACAGAGGGCGTCCTGGGATCCAACCCGTAAGGAGATAGGCTCTGTCCCTTGGAGACTGGGAGAGGTTCTGAGATGTGGCGTGGAAGTGGAGCCGGAACAGTTGAGTAGGAGATGACGAAACAGATGGGAGGCATGGAGGACATCTGGGATATCCGGGACGGCGGGACCCAGGGGTGCTGAGCAGGGTAGCACTGGTGTGGATGGTCGCTGAGCTTGGGAAAACAGAGAACAGGCCCCGAGCTTGTGGAAGGGTCCAGTGGAGGTAGATTCAATTGGGAAGTCCCCAGTAAGGATATTTTATATTTATGTGATTTTCAGAGCAAAGCACTTCCAGGTTCCCCTCCCCCCCCT